AGGCCAGGCATGGGAACTCATGCCTATAGTCCTAGCACTTTGGGAAGCCAAGGCAAGAGGATCACTTGAGTCCCGGAGTTCAAGACCAACTGGGCAACATAGTGAAATCCTATCTCTAGAAAAGGTATAAAAATAAGCCAGGTGTGGCCAGGTATGGTGGCTCATGCCTGTAATCCCAGCCCTTTGGAAGGCCGAGGTAGGCAGATCACGAGGTCAGGAGATCAAGACCATCTTGGCTAACATAGTGAAACCCCATCTCTACTAAAAATACAAAAAACTAGCCAGGCTTGGTGGCACGTGCCTGTAGTCCCAGCTACTCTGGGAGGCGGAGGCTGCAGTGAGCCGAGATCATGCCACTGCGCTCCAGCCTGGGCAACAGAGTGAGACTCCATCTCAAATAAATAAAGTAAGCCAGGTGTGGCAGCACATGCCTGTGGTTCCTGCTACTCAGGATGTCCAGCTTGGGGGGTCCAGCCTGCAGTGAGCTGTGATCACTCCACTGTACTGCAGCCTGGGCCACAGAAAGAGAGGGCCTCTCTCAATAAAAAAGGCACTATATACATGGATCCAAATCAGGTGAAAGCCAGTGTATGTCCTGAAAGTCCCCATCGTCTGGATCCTGGGAGGTCTTTGACTTTGTTGCCTTCTGCAAGAACTGGATGAAAATCTGCATTTCACATTCTTCAAACACCCCCCTGCCCCACATCTTCCTCTGTGGCAGTAAGATGCTGGAATTATGCAAAGAGCCCATGGTAAGGATTGCACCAAAGGTCATTTCTAAGCTTTTGTCCCCATCCCCGTGAGGCCTAGTTCAGAGTTTTGGCATTCTCCAGGTATAAATAAAAATCTAGTGAGTGACCAAGCACGGTGGCTCATGCCTGTAATCCCAGCACTTAGGGAGGCTGAAGTGCGTGGATCACCTGAGGTCAGGAGATTGAGACCAGCCATGGCAAAACCCCGTCTCTACTAAAAATACAAAAACTGATCAAAAATTGGCATAAAAGCCGGGCGCAGTGGCTCACGCCTATAATCCCAGCACTTTGGGAGGCCGAGGCGGGTGGATCACAAGGTCAAGAGATCGAGACCATCCTGGTCAACAAGGTGAAACCCCGTCTTTACTAGAAATACAAAAATTAGCTGGGCATGGTGGCACATGCCTGTAGTCCCTGCTACTCAGGAGGCTCAGGTAGGAGAATTGCTTGAACTCAGGAGGCGGAGGTTACGGTGAGCCAAAATTGTGCTATTGCACTCCAGCCTGGGTAACAAGAGCGAAACTCCGTCTCAAAAAAAAAAAAAAATTGGCATAAAAATAAAAATACAAAAATTGCCCACGCTGGCTCATGTCTGTAATCCCAGCACTTTGGGAGGCCTAGGTGGGCAGATCACTGGAGTTTGGCAGTTCAAGACCAGCCGACCGATAGAGAAACCCCATCTCCACTAAAAATACAAAAATTAGTCGGGCATGGTGGCACATGCCTGTAGTCCCAGCTACTCTGGAGGCTGATGTAGGAGAATCGCTTGAACCCGGGAGGTAGAGGTTGCAGTGAGCCAAGATCGCACCACTGCACTTCAACCTGGGTGACAGAACAAGACTCCAACTCAAAAATAAATAAATAAACATAAATCCAGTGAGTAAGCATGATGTGTGTACCTACAAGTTCCAAATGGGGGCTATCAGCACACACCTCTTAAAAATCTATTTCTGGCATTTAAGTACAGTGGCTGTGCAGAGCCTCCACACAACCGAAGTGCCATTTGAGAACAAGCAGCATCTGCCCTCCGAATCCAGCAGCAAGTGCAGACAGCAAGGTTAAATTTAGCACTTGGAGGTTGTAAAAATAAACCCACTTGAGAACAAAGTTCACTCTTGGCAAAATGCCAAATGCAAACTGTTTTTAGCAAGGTTAGCCATTGACTTTTTAAAGCTTTGGTTCATTTATTTTCTCTGCTCTTCCTTAGAATGCTTAATCTGGGTAACCTTTTTTTTTTTTTAAGACGGAGTTTTGCTCTGTCACCCAGGCTGGAATGCCGTGGTGCAATCTCGTCTCACTGTAACCTCTCCTCCCGGCTTCAAGCGATTCTCCTGCCTCAGCCTCCCAGGTACCTGGGATTACAGGTGCCCATCACCATGCCCAGCTAATTTTTGTTGTTTTTTAGTAGAAACAGGGTTTCACCATGTTGGCCAGGCTGGTCTCGAACTCCTGACCTCAGGTAATCTGCCCACCTCCGCCTCCCAAAGTGCTGGGATTACAGGCATGAACCACTGCACCTGGCCAATCTGGATGAACTTTTATGAGTAATCCCTTACTATAAACACTCATTGTCCTGTTTACTTCTTCACAGCTGCACCTAGATAATAAACCTGATGCCAGGACAAGTGGCTATGCCACTAGGCAGAGCTAGACAAAAGTAGGAGGCAGGAACTGCCTCTTGGCCTAGCCGAGCTGAGCTGAGCTCCTGCCCTGGACTGGCAGAGAAGCACTTCCTTCCACACCCTTGAGCAGGATAACCTAGTGGGTAGAAGCTTAGGCTTTGAAATGGGGATAGATTCCACTTCCTCCTGGAGAGGTTGTGTGGATTATAGAAGATGGTATGGGTGTAACTCTTAGCACAGTATCAGGCACATAGAAAGTGCCTGATTTCTGGTGGAGTCCTGGCTTTACCTGGCTTTGCACTATAGACTGGATGCAGCACCATCTCATGGGGCTGGATCTTGAGGGTAGTTGAGATCTGTTGCAGTCTTTCAGCTGTCAAGACTCCAATCTGGGCTCTTGTGCAGTGTGTTCTTGGGAGAGGCTCTGGGTCTGGCTTCTCTTGGCAATGTGCATGAGTCAGTTATCCTTAAGGTTCCATGCTCTGTCCATCGGTAACAGTGGCATTCAGAGGAAGGGGAACCTTCTGCTAAGAAGAAAAGGTATTCTCTTGAACCTGCTACTCTCAAAAAAATTTTTTTAATTACTTGGCAGTTATTGAATATTAACAGAATTTGTCAAAAGTAGCATATTCTTCAAGTTGACCCTTTGCTCATTGAAGGATGAAAGGATTCACTGGCAGTTTGAAGAGAAGTTGCCCTAAGCTTGGAATTGGGGATGTGGGACATGGTTCCTTGAAACACTGACCTTGTACAAGGTCATTGCTCTGGAGCAGGGGATCTCTGACCTGCTTTCATGAACTTTATGAAAAGCAATGTGATATTTTGAGAAAAGCAGTTATCTTTCATTAGCTTGTCGAAGTGGCCTTCAATGTAGAAAATATAGAGTCACTAGCCCTTAATGTTTCCTGGAGCAAGATTTCAGGGAACGAGGCATTTAGGAAAGCTGGACAAATGTAAAACCTAAGGAAATCATTGCAAGGAAAAGCAAAACCACAGAATCTGTTTCAATACTGGTATAACTGTGACTCTAGAGGACTGAAGGCATAGACTGACTTCACAGAGGCCTCCTGGGCAGACGTTACCCACATGCCAAAGAAGTTTAAAGGGCACCTATGAGCTGTTTAACTAACCTGGAGTTAGTGCCGAGCCCTGGGCAGCATGCAGGAGCAGAGAGAGCTTTCATTTGGATACAGCCCATGATCCTCCATGGAGCCCCATCACCTGCAAGGGTGACTGTGCCAAGGCAAGCCCTGGCTAGCAGGCGCTACAGGCACCCCCACCACACAGGGACAGCATATTGTTCTGGAGCCTGCGAGACCCAGTGCTTGCCAAGCCACTGCTGTGCTAGAGCCCAGGCTGTGCAGCCTCCATTGTAGAGGGAGATTTTTTTTATGCATATCCACCCCTCACCCTGGAGTCCTGCACTTTATCTGCACTTTGGGGCTTACTTGGGGTAAATAGCATCAAAACACAGAAATGCCAGAGTGTTCTGTGTTGACAGAAAATTATTCAGAAAGCAATGCCCATTGTTCCCCCTGGCTAAATAATAATTCCTGTTTCCAGGCAGTTTGCTTATTAATCAGACAGGTGTCATTCGTTCCACCAAGAAAAACAAAATCTGTCAGCAAGAAAATTAAGAATGGATAGGCATATTTCAAAACGATTAAAATAGCATTTTTACAAGTCTGGTCCTTTAAACATTGAGTAGCTGCCTGCTGTCAGAGGCTTTCAGAAGCCACACACCACATCCAAGCATGCCATCCTGCTAATAATATGCAATACGTCTCTGAAGGTGCTTTCAGGCAATCATCCCTGAGAATATCTGAACCTCACAAAAGAATAAATAATAGAGGCAGCCAACCCACCATTGAGTCAGGAGACACAGCAGAGATTATATTCTGGTTAAAAATAGAATGACCTTCTCCACCACGAAGAGAAAATGAAATTCATTTAGTCAAGGAGACAAAGGTTACCCGATCCAGATGATTCAACTTTTAAAAAAGCCCAGCTGCCTTTGGCCTTTGAGTTAGGGACCCCATGTGTAGTGAGGGAATGAAGAACGCTGGTAGCGCCCTGGCCTTCTGTAGACGCACACACGACAGCAGTAGGCTCTGTGTCCCTTCGCACATGTGAGTTATGATGCAGCAGTGCAGGGGAAGAATAAAGCAGCTGTCTATTTCAGATGACAGGAATAGGCCACTAGACTCCATTCTCTCCCAGCTGCCGTTGGAATCCCGTTGGTAGGAGGCTGGGGGGCAGTCTCACTGCACACACACACGTTTCCTAAGTCTGGTGACAAATGTTTTCTTGGTAAGAACTAAGTCCAGTGCTTTTATAAAAGCACAGATACTGTTGGACTGCAGGCTCACAGGTGCCCTTTAATCCTCAGCACCTGGTCTAGTGCCTAAGACATGTTTTATGAATAAATGAGTAAATGTTTCTTAGATTTAATTGAAAGAAAAAGCATGAAATGAAGTAAAAGGAGCTTTGACTCCGGAAATGTTGAAATGAAACAAAGGAGTTCAACCCTTGATGAACTGGTTACCTCTTTTATCTTTCAGAGTCAGAGTTGACAAATTTGGCAGGATTATACAGAGATGAACGATTGAAACAGAAAGCAGAGTCGCTGAAACTTGAAAACTGTGAGAAACTTTCCAAACTTATTGGCCTACGCAGAGGTGGCTGAGAGGATAACGGCCCTACGCAGGGCTGGGGTTTTGCTACTTGTTCCTATTTATGTTCCTGATTCCATTTTATAATACAAAATTAGGAAATGATGAACACTTTACTATTTGCTAACTTCGTTGATTGGGCAGAGTGGCAGGAGCATGGGCACGAGAGCCAGACATGTCTTCACAGAATCCTTCCTGGGGAGTGGCTCCAGGGGCCAGGAGCAGTTCCTCTAAGCTAAGTGAATGGCAAAGCACTGGATTCCGTCTCCCTGCTCCACGCCCATGCTGCCTCTGTGAACGTAGTTCAGGGCATCCCAGAGCAGATCCGTGTTTTCTTCCTTCTTCAGTGAAGTCTGAAGACCCAAGCATTCCTAAGCTTAGCCAAAGCTTAATATTAGTTATTTACACTGTCTACCAAGAATTATACCGAGACCTTCATTAGAGTCATTATCTTCTGCCAAGATTTAGCCTTTGGAACATGTTCCTGCCCAGCTTTCTATTTTCTAAGGGGATATGGAGAAATTTAAACAATCGTAGTCAATAGTTTTCTAATATTCCAATCTCTGCTCAGTTAGTAGCATTAGCAAACTGCCTGATTTGAGGTTCCTTTATTTCCTTAACCCTCTCTCTTTTAGAGGGTCCAGAAATTAAAACTACTAAGCAGCATCAGGAGGCAACGTTGGGGTGAAGGTATAATGCAAGACTGAGCCTCAGCTCCTCTATGCAGCCTCCCTAGTCCATCACAGAACCCAGAGAATGTCCCTTCAGTCATTTCCCCTCAGTACCAGCATTGGGCTGAGTTCCTACATGCCACAGAGGCAGATGGGCAGACCCAGGAGGAGGCATTGCCAGCTCTCCAGGCTGTTTGCTCAAGCCTGGAGATAAAGGGGACAGACCCTCTCTTCCTGGATATGGGGGTCTAGCGTTGGCCCCAGCAGCCACTTTGTTTAACCCATTGTTCTATAGTTTGTGATTTGAGATGCTTTTCATACATTCAACATTTAATGAGTGCCCACTATAAAGCAGGGGCTCTCACACATATTTTCTTACTTAAACTTCCTCACAACTCTGAAGTAGATGTATTATCCCCGGTTCTATGAATGAGAACATTGGCCCAGAGAGGATGAACGGTTGACCTGGGTCATACAGCTGGTAGTGGCAGAGCTAGACGATAGGCTGAGTGTCAAGTAGAAAGTGGGAGAGAGCATCCTCATGTCTCAGGTGATTCTAGCCAGACTGGCAAAGCAGAACCTTTCCTGAGGATGCCTCTGTGTACCCTACCCCTGTGACCCCACATTCTTTCCGTGGCAATCCTGCATCCATTCAGGACAACATCCTTGCTGCTCTTTAGGAAGTAGGACCCTGTCTAACATAAATTCTATACACAAAATAAGAGGTTCCTCATGGGCAGGCAGCCTTCCCACTGGTGACAAGGAAGAATTCAGTCACTGCCTGGGCTGTGTGGTTCTGGGCCTTCCTGTGGAGCTGAGCTGCCTGGATTATCATGACTCTGAACCTGGAAGGATCATTAGGTGACTGTAGCCTACACTCCATGCTTCCTTCAGATTGGAGGAAAAGTTTCTACTAGAGAGTCGGCCGGGTACAGTTGCTCATGCCTGTAATCCCAGCACTTTGGGAGGCTGAGGCAGGTGGATCGCCTGAGGTCAGGAGTTCAAGACCAGCCTGGCCAACATGGTAAAACCCCATCTCTACTGATAATACAAAAATTAGCCAGGCATGGTAGTGCATACCTGTAGTCCCAGCTACTTGGGAGGCTAAGGCACAAGAATTGCTGCAACCTGCAAGGCAGAGGTTGCAGTGAGCTGAGATCACACCGCTGCACTCCAGCCTGGGCGACAGAGTGAGACTCCATCTCAAAACAACAAAAAAATAGTCTACATTAAAACAGATCTCCAAAGTAAAGTTTCTTCATCCCAATGCATGGCCATGATTTACACAGACATGCCTAGCATGGCCATCAACAGCGGAACAGCTATTCCCTACCTTGCCTCTGTATGCATTCCAGAGTCAGGAGATGGGTTCACAGGAAAAGATCGAGGGCTTTAGTGGCTTGCAGGGGACAACTGCTAAGTTGTAGGGAGAGGGAGCATTTCTAGAAATAGCCAGATTTTGCTGCCCTAGTAGGTCTGTCCTCCTGGTTTGTGGGGCCCTTCTTGATCCCCTCTGAGTGATTAAATGTGTAAAATGTGCCCATGAGCCAAACAGGCTTATGGAAAGTTCACCTATATACACAAAAATCAAAACTGTCCTCTCCCCATCCCCAACCTCTGCTAGAAAATTGGCCATAATTAAACTAACTTGACAGGTTAAAAGACCCTGTTCTAGTGCCCAGGAATCAAGTAGTCACATATTTTATGGATTTCATGGCAGTGATGAGTAATCTGTGATGATACTAAATAGAGACAATAGTAACTAACTCCATTAAATGACACACTGGTTGTCTGTTTTTATAGCACTGATGGTACTGTTTTATTTATTACCAATAGACCACACATTCACATCTGTTTTTCCTCAAGGGAACTGTATTTGCTTTTGGTTGAAGGATAGTTTAATCTATTTGATACTATCCTGAATATTGTTAAACTATAATTTCCTGGGTTATATTTTATATGGGTTGTCTGCATGGTGGTGAAATCAGCTTTTTCCTCTTGCCTACATCCTTTGGAAGATCTCCTGATCATACATAAACTCTAGATAGGGCTTATTCTTGCTGTCAGAGCTTGGCACCCAGCTCTAGACTGTTTCTTTGAGCATTACTGCAGATTGGAGACGTGTATAATGGGAGCAGGGCTCAGAAACAGGGCCTGAGGCTCAGGCAGAAACTGAAGCTCTCATTCAAATGAAGGTGCTCTCTCTACCACATGATCAGCAGTGAGAAAAGGAGGATGAAAATCCTTCTCATCACAAAGAGCTTGAAGGAATCCATGTCCCCAAATTAGCAACCCTAGAGCTCATCTGCACAAGCCAGAAAATGTGTAAGCTTCCTTGATCAGCTCCAGGCCTCACATACCAAGAGTAGTGACCAATAAGGAAACGCCACTTCTCTGCTTTCTGTTGGAAACTATTAGAAAATACAGTGAACTGGCCAGGTGCAGTGGCTCATGCCTGTAATCCCAGTACTTTGGGAGGCCAAGGAGGGCATATCATTTGAGGTCAGGAGTTTGAGACCAGCCTGGCAAACATGGTGAAACCCCATCTCTACTAAAAATACAAAAATTAGCCAGGCATTGTAGCAGGCACCTGTAATCTCAGCTACTTGGAAGGCTGAGGCTGGAGAATCACTTGAGCCTGGGAGGTGAAGGTTGCACTGAGCAGAGATCGCGCCACTGCACTCCAGCCTGGGCAACAGACAGAGACTCTGCCTCAAAAAAAGAAAAAGAAAAAAATACAGTGAACTCTAGATGCCACTGGAACATGGGGTCCAGCAGCCTGGCCAAGCTATGCGTCATTCTTTTTCCTCCTCATACTCAGGCTGGGCTTTGTGAGGAGGCATTGTGTGATTCCAGTGGCTTCTGTTCCAACTGGCCACACCACACATGCAAGCTCATTGTCTGCATGCACTGCTCCTCACAGGAGCTTGCACTTCATTCGTACTTATTCTGGCCTCATTTCAGGTGTAAGTTTAATGTCCTAATATATTTATTTTTGGAAAGGCCCAAGTTACAAAACATCTTTTTTTTCTTGAGGCTGCACTGTTGATATGTGATACACCAATTAAGTATATACCCATGTGTTAGATACTGAGTACATCATTTACATCATGCTCAGTATTTGGAATTAAAGATGTGGATGTTCTGTGACCAGAGTAGGGATGACACAAATCGAATCAGCTCCTGGTGGACTAAGAATCTTGAAAAAATCTGGTCACCTGATCCACTACATATGGATTGAGTATATTTTAACAAAGAAAAACATTAAACAATTTTATATAAAAAGAATGGCTATTTTTCCTTGGTTCTTTTACCTTTGTCCATGGCATCCGTGGCCACTGCCTGACTCCCTTGGAGCCACTTTGTACTAGAGAAGCTGTTGGCATCTGCTCCAGTCTTCCCTCACCCATCAGTGGGATTATCTGCATTTGGAATAGTAGGTAGCATTGTTGGCATCATCAGTTCCACATTTTCTATCAGATAACAGCAGTTGCAGTATATCACAGCCAATAGACAGATAAAAACTACACTTAGCATCAGAAATTCAGGTGTTATCCCAGTTCCTTGCTGACTCTGTTCTTAGTGGCCCATATTTAGGAAAGTATTGATTTAAAAATATAGTAAATGGGCCAGGTACGGTGGCTCATGCCTATAATCCCAGCACTTTGAGAGGCTGAGTTGGGCGGATCACAAGGTTGGGAGATAGAGACCATCCTGGCCAACATGGTGAAGCCCTGTCTCTAAAAAAGAAAAAAAAATTATTTAAAAAAGAAAAAAATAGGCCGGGCGTGGTGGCTCACGCCTGTAATCCAAGCACTTTGGAGGCCAAGGTGGGCGGATCACTTGAGGTTGGGAGTTCAAGACCAGCCTTACCAACATGGTGAAACCCCGT